ACAAGTAATTAATATTCACTGTTATACATTGATTAATCTCAAATCCTGACTGCAGTTTGATCCCTTGATACTGAGCAATACCGGATGGATATGCACCAATGGTTTTCACACTCACACATCATTCACATTGCACATGCAGTGAAATACAAGTCACATTAAACAACCAATGTTTTTAAGATGATGGACCTTCCATTCACCATACCCACTTCCATCATGAATCAATGCTTAAGAAATATTAATAGACTGGAAATGATTAGTACCAACATGCTTCAAATACAAAGCAGGTGTATTAGTATCACAAGGAATGCCATATAAAGTTTGGGTTCCATATCTAGCCCAGCCAACAAAAGAAGGTGTTAGTGAATATGAATATGTGGTTGTACCTAATATTGCAGATAGTGTAATAATCTCCGTGTCAGTGGCCCACACATGATTTCTATACATTTTGGACTTATTTATGTAATCATATGTGCTTGAATATCTGGTTGCACTTAATGTACTATTCAACAATTCTTCTTCAAAGTTTGGCATATTACTAACAATTGCTTTACGTAATTCATAATGCTGAGAAATTGACCCAGTGATGAGATATGAAAGGGTTTGAAATAAACAGTTCCCATCACCAGGGACATCAAGAGTACTATTAGGAACGCTTTCATCTGACAATGGTGTTGTTGGACTACCAGGTATGATTCTAGCAGCTGTGACAAATTTGAGATTTAAAATCTCACACCACCTTCTTTGATATTCTTCATTACCAGGGTAATAAACATAATCCCATTGTCTCCGTCTCACAATATCTGGGTTGGCAGGCTCTTCATAAGTAAAGATGCCATCTTCTTTTTTTGGATTACTTGTCTTTAATTTAATGCTTGAGAGTTTTATAGATACAATCACACTATTGCTACAATGGTCATTTTTTACAGCACACTTAGTTTTATCATCTTTCGGTTTACATTTAATGTTTGGGAGTTTTATAGATACAATGAGACTACTACAACTATCATCATCTTTGACATTAAATTTGGTTTTTAGGTCTTTCAAATTAACTGAAACAATTAATTTGCGATCTTTTTCTGAGCGAGGCAATACCAAAAGCAGTATTGTCAGTACTACTGTCTACATCAGCTTTTCTTT